GACATAATCTACCTCACTTTAGCAAAGCTTTTGACATACTGCCCCATGACATGCTGATAAGCAAATTAGCAAAATAGGCTGCTAAATTGGACAAAAGGTGTGTTCGTCAATGGCATCTTCTCAGACTGGAGGAGAGTAACTAGCAGGGTGCTGCAAGGTTCAGTCCTAGACTTGGTGCTCTTCAACATCTTTATTAATGATTCCGATAAGGAAATACAAGGAATGATAATCAAATCTGCAGATAATACAAAACTGGGTGAAATAGCAAACACCCTAGAAGACAGAATGAAGAGATTTAATAGTGATAAATCCTCCACCTAATGAAAACAAATTAAATGTATCAATAAAAGATGGGGAATACATGACTCAACAGAACAGAAAAGGAAAAAGACTTTGGAATTATTGTGGACAACAGACTAAATATGAGCCAACAATGCGATGTAGCCACAAAAAGGGCAAATGCTATTTTGGGATGCATTAACAGAAGTATTACTTCTAAATCATGAGAAGTAATAGTTCCCCTATACCAGGGGTCGGTAACCTTTAACACTCAAAGAGCCTATACTCTTCTGTAGTCAGATCTCATGTAGAATAGTATGTCCAGTTCTGTGCACCAAGATTTAAGAGAGATGCAGAAAAATTAGAAAGGGGCCAAAGGAGGACAATAAAAATGATGCAGGGTTTGGAAAAACTGCCCTATGAGGAGAGACAGAGAACTGGGCATGTTCAGTCCTGAGAAGAGAAGGCTGAGGGGGGACATGATATCCCTCTATAAGTACTGCAAAGGCTATCACAAAGAGGAAGGTCAAGATCTCTTCTGACTGATACCGGAGTGTAGGACACAGAAGAATCAGCTCAAGTTGCAACAACCCAGATTCAGGCTAGATATCAGGAAAAGTTTCCTCACAGTCAGAGCATTTCGACAGTGGAGCCAGTTGCCTAAAGAGGCTGTGGTCTCTCCCACACTAAAGACATTAAAAAAGAAACCAGACTGTAATCTGAGTGGGATGGCGTAACTTGGTGTCCTGCAACAGGGGTTTGGACCCAATGGCCTTTAGGTTTTAAAATTGTATTTGGGTTGTATTTGGGTTGTATTGGGTTGTATTTCTGTGCTTATCTGTGCATCCTGGGTGGTGCTTAGTTCTGAGCAGACGTGCATAAGACTGTGCTCTTACATTTGTAGGGGAACTGTATCCTCCTCAAGGAATGGACAACCAGTCTTATTTATTTATTTATTTATTTATTTATTTATTTATTTATTTAGCAGACTTATATGCCACCCCATTCGCCTAAGCCTTGGGGCGGCTTACAAATAAATAAATATCATTAGTACAATAAAATACAGTTGGAGACATCCTGGCCAAAGTTGTTAAAATCAATAAATAAAATCAACAATTAAAACAATGTTTATATAAAAAGGTCTTGGCCTGGTGCCAAAAAGCAAACAACGACGGCACCAGGCGGACCTCTCTGGGGAGTGCATTCCATAGATGGGGTGCTACTGCAGAGAAAGCCCTCCTCCGGGTACTCACCCTCCTAATGTCCTTCACGGAGGGCTCCCGGAGAAGGGCCTCTGCCGCCAATCTCAAGGGGTGGGAGGGCATATATTGACGTAAGCGCTCCTTTAGGTAACCAGGACCCAAGCCATTAAGGGCTTTATCGGTGATAACCAACACCATGACTTGGGCCCGGACTTCAGTGGGAAGCCAGTGAAGTTGACAGAGGACTGGAGTTATGTGAGCACAACGCCCAGTCCCCATCAGCAACCTGGCAGCTCTGTTTTGCACCAATTGAAGTATCCGGACTGTCTTCAAGGGCAGCCCCACATAGAGCGCATTACAGAAGTCTAGTTGGGAAGTTACCAATGCGTGTGTCACTGTCGCCAGGCAGTCGTTCTCCAGGTAGGGATGCAGCTGGTGAATCAGCCGAAGCTGAAAGAAAGCGCTCCTCGCCACCGCTGTTACTTGAGCTTCCAGTGAAAGCTCTGGATCGAGGAGCACTCCCAAGCTGCGGACCTTGTCCTTAAGAGGGAGTGCAACCCCATTCAGGACAAGATCAAAGTCCCCTTCCCCGAAGCCCAAGCCACCTACCAACAAGACCTCCGTCTTGTCTGGATTGAGCTTCAGTTTACTGGCCCTCATCCAGCCCATTACCTCGGCCAGGCACCGGTTCAGTACTGCCACTGCTTCACCTGGATTGGTGGAAAATGAGAGGTAGAGCTGGGTGTCATCAGCTTACTGATGATTCCGCAGCCCACACCTCCTAATGACCTCTCCCAGTGGTTTCATGTAGATGTTAAATAGCAAGGGGGACAAAATGGATCCCTGCAGAACTCCATGGCATAACTGCCATGGTGCAGAGCCATAGTCCCCCAGCACCACCTTCTGGAATCAGCTGTTGAGATAGGAACGGAACCACTGCAAGGCAGTGCCTCCTACTCCCAGTCCCGCTAGCTTATCCAGAAGGATACCATGGTCGATGGTATTGAAAGCCACTGAGAGGTCCAGGAGAACCAACAGGGACGCACTCCCCCTGTCTTTCTCCCTGCACAGGTCATCGTACAGGGCGACCAAGGCAGATTCAGTACCGTACCCGGGTCTGAAGCCGGACTGAAATGGGTCTAGATAATTAGTTTCATCCAAGAGTGCTTGGAGTTGTCCCGCCACCACCCGCTCTAACACCTTGCGCAAAAATGGGATGTTGGCCTCCAGTCTATAATTGGTGGCCATCTCTGGATCCAGGGATGCCTTCTTTAGATGCTTTTTTTTTTTTTTGGTTTGTTGCTCAAAATAGTCTAATGAAAATGAATTATATCTCAGACTAGAAAGTCTATGCATGAGATTAAAAGAAATGAGCAAAGAGAGAAGCTAGATAAATTCCCACAGGAGGAGTGTTTTAAGTTTTAAGCACACATAACTCATTTTCTGACAATTAGGGGCATAATCCTATGTATGTTTAGACAGAAGACCTATAACTTCTACCATTTCCTAGCCAGCTTGTGGCATGCTGGGAAATGCAGGCCTTTTTTCCTCTAAGAATGTATCAGATTGTACTATGATGTACATAGGCAGCAAGTCCAGTGAAAATGGAACATAATTTGCTTCAGAGATGTTTCAGGGTTGCCCTCTTGGCAGCTCTCACATCCAAGACTGGAAGTAAATTTTACTGGTAGGACATGTAAATGTGGCATAAGTTTAACTTTCTTCTGCTTATATTATTTTAAATCATGTTTTAAAAACAATTAGTTGATTATCAATTATTAACACTGTCACCCAATTATAAAAACCTTACATGATTTACTACACAATCCTATGCATGACTTCTCAAAAATAACAGGCAGTCAATGCAGCTTGCAATGGTCTGGGATGTGCTCTCTAGGACCAGTCCTTAATAGCCGTTCTGCTCTGTTTCGGCTTAGGTGGAGTGCCTGGACTGTCTTAAAAGGCAGCCCCTTTGAGGTGACATTGCATCCCTACTTTTAACATGCAGGTTTCTACAAGCACATGGCACCAACTATTAGGTGTGTGTGTGTGTTGATAATTAAGTTATCAGAATAAGCAAGGGGGGATATAATTATTTCCATCCTGTTGGGTTTTGAGGAAAATACCTCCTCTAAGCTGGAATTTCTTTTTGAGGGGAGGTCCCTTATTGGTGTGAGCCACAGATTTTCTTTGAAAGCAAAATTCATTTTAAATGAGGGCTTTTCCTCGAGATTACAACAGGGTGTGGAAAGGGTTTGTTCCTTCTTCATACCTACTCTATTCCTATTAAGTGTAAGTCCCTCACAACTAATGTTTACAAGAGCTGGGCAGGACTGTCAAGGATAGAACATCTTGGAGGGCATTCATGTTGTTGTTATGTGCTCTCAATCTGTGACTGTGACTTGGTCACCACAAGACCAAGCACATAACAACAACATGGCACTTTTCACAGTACATGGGGGAGGGGAAATGGGAAATCTAATGGGTAATTCTAGCATATGAAATTTCATCTAATGTTATTATAAAGGCACTATTGCTGCCTGTGAAGAGATTGCTAGTATGCTACACAAGTATAACAAGACGCAAAAACACATCATTCTCAAGCAGTAGCAGTCACAGAGCGGGCTCGTGTCTTTGCTGGGAATAGGCAGCGCCCAATCAGTGTGTCCCATCTGTTGGCCGGGCAAATGGTCCAGGCTTCGGAGCACGAAGTCCTCCGTACTGTTTTTGTCGTCCTCGCCAGCTACAGTTCCAACACATTGGTCAGGCCAAGGGCAAAAATAGTGGCGGTCTTCTCCCATTGGCCGGGCCACTAGCAGTGGGTGGGAAAAGATGGTGAAGTTAGCGCTGGAGAGAGGACGCGCTCTGCCGCCTCTGGAGCAAGGCAAGCGAGGGGGGAACGAGCCGGCCTTTCATTGGGCGAGGCCTGCATGTGCTGGAGGGTGGAGTGAGGGAGAAGAGACTCCCATTGGCCAGATAAATGGTGGAGGGAATGAGCGCAAGTTCCCATTGGCCAGCAAAAGGGTAAAGCAATTGCAAGGCGTTCCAAAACAGGGCTTCAGGGGGGAGGCGCGGAAGCTTGTGTTTCGGACCGTGCTTGTGCGCTTGCTGGCAGATCTACAGGGGCCGCTCGTGTTCGGTTTGATGTTCAGACTTGGCGCGTGCTCGCGCTGGCGGGAAGGCTGAGCGGGGGAGGACCGATTCCAAAGGCGGGAGTAGAGAGACGAATAGCGGTTGTGCGTTTTCATTGGTTAGGTCACGCACGTGCTCACGGTGGGCCGGTTTGAACTTTGCGCGAGCCTCCATTGGACCCGGGTCGCGCGCTCGCAGCGCGCGCCCTCCTCTCCCTATGAAGCGCGCCCCCGGAGGGGTGGGTACCGAACTCGCGCCCAGGTGAGCGCATGCCCAGTGCGGATGGGGCAGGCGGCGATGGTGGAGCTAGGCTGATGGCGGCGCAGGCGGCGCTGCGCTGAGGACGCTCAGGGAGCCTGTCCCCATCCCGGCAGCAGCTGCCTCGCTATGGGCAACGAGGCCAGCCTGGAGGGCGGAGGAGCTGAGGGGCAACTGCCCCCCGGCTCCGCCGCTGGCCCCTCCACGTCGCCTGGGACTGCCAAGCCGCCTTCAGCACCAGGCAGCGGCGGACAGCTCCCCCCGGGCAGGGCTCCAGCCGCCGCACCGGGCCCCGCGCAGCCGCACGGACCCTCCGCCAGGTGGGAGACGTAGACCGGCCGGGCGAGCTTAGCGTGAGGGGTCGCTCGGGGGCAACTCGAACTGACAGTGCCGAGGAGGCGAAGGGAGGGCGGCTGGCCGCCTGGGCTGCAGCGGGAGCAGGGATTAAGGGCGAAGCGCAACTGGGGAACCCTCTGCCGCGGGGGCGCGTTGCGGTGCTGAGTGCTGAGAACTGGGGTCGAGGGAGGCATGGGGCAGGTAGGGCAAGGTTCAGGCTTTGGGGACGGCGGAGAGAAGAGGGAGAAGAAAACAGGGAAAGACCCCGTGAGGCTCTCCACGCTTGTAGAGGAAGCTCTGGCATGGAAGGTTTCCTCTCCAGAATGGATGGGCATGAAGAAATAAAAAGATGGTTTGGCAACTGTGGCCTGTGTGGGAGTTTTGCCGTGTACAGCTAATTTTAAGATAGTCTCTGGAACCAAAGGTTGTCTTTTTTCCAGGGAGTTAGGATCCCTGGACCATGAGTAGTGCACTCCGTAATGCCCTGTAGTTTGGTAATGTTGATCAGGAAACAAGCCTCCCTATGGTATAATTCTGGCATTGTCTAAAGTGGGGACAGCTGAAGGTTTTACAAAGGTGTGGTAGGTGCCACTTGGGATTCATCTTTTTCAGACTGATGATGAAGGAGTCTGCCCATGTTTAACAGTATTCAACAGTGAGTAGGAAAATCAATCTAGCTGGATGATGGTGGAGAAGATAGCAGCATGTGTACAGCCACAGATGAAGACTTTTTCACAGAGTGCCGTAGTGCAGGCTAGTGTCAGGGAGAGGGGAGTAGAGAAACATGAATGGGATGCTGATTACACAGCAGAGGATAGAATGAATGGCTTGCAAAATAGAGAGGAAAGGACATGGATTGTGGGTGAGGAACCACAAGTAGGTTTTTTCAGTCTTTGGGTTGTCAAGAATACTTCGAGCTTGAGTTGTAAGCAAGAACAAACATTTCCCTATTCTTCTCCTAACACCTAGTTATTCTTCTAGACCTTCTTCCTGGAGCAGTGGTATTGCTCTGATGCTTGCTTATAATAATAGATTTGATGGTGTGTAAGCCTGATATCCATAGCTGTGTAGTTCCATAGATATATACACCCCAGATTATAGCCTGTTTGTAGTATATAAAAAAGAATATGGTTATGTAACCTACACATGGTACATTAGTGTAGATAAATAATTAAACTCAAATGTTCTATAATATCTCCCTAAGGAAAACAAAACATGTTGGGTGGGGGAGTAATATAATGATTAGCTATCATGCAGCAGAATTGTGTATTTAAAATAAATTACAAAAATAATAGGCATCCTCAACTAATATAGATAGTGCATTTTGGAAAGCAGCACAGATGTAAAAACAGAAGCAAGTGAAAAATTGAGGAGAGTAATATTTTTCAGTGTCCAGTGTGTTAAAATACAACATATATCTATGCAGATAGATACTGAGCCATGTTTTTTGCTTAAAGGCTCAATAGAACTATATTTAATGATTAAATTAAGAAGTGTATCACCCATGTCCACAGGTTTAAAAAGACTTTTGTTGCTGAATTCTCCATTATTACAGGGTGGTTGTTACAGTCGGTTCTGGAAGAAATCAAATTGCAGTGCTCAGGTTGTGTTGGGATTAACATTGGAGTCTTCTTCATCACCTTTTAATGGTCAAAATGTTTCTGGATGAACTGATTTATCCAATTTGCTCAAAAAAGTTTATAGAAGAAATCAGTTAAACTGCAATTTGATGTTCAGTATTAATATCTTTATATTTTTTCAAGTGACCTGTATCTATCCTGTATTTTAAAATTGTATAGATATGTGTTTTGATAATTGCTTATGAAAATTGCTTATGAAAATGTAGATCATCCATCTGTAGAATTTGCATCTGCATAGATAAAATTATGTCAGTTGTGATGTGGCAGCTCTTTCCATTATGCAGGATCCTAGATTTGCACATTATTCCCCAACTGAGCTTAAGGATGAGGTAGGCCAAGCACCAATGCATAAGCAAGGAAAGTTCACACAGTCAATGGATGTTGAATTGCTTAGACACATTGGGTTTGGATAAGGTATGACAGGTGAATGTTTGTGTGACAGGGTATGTTTGTGTGTGTGTGTACAGATGGATTTCATAGAATGGCAAAAATAGTTTTGTGTTGGGACCTGTAGCAGGATCATCTAATTCCTGTGGGCCAGATGTGTGTGCCTCTGCAACATTTCCTGAATTCAGCAGCTCAGATTCACTTTTACACAATCAAGTGTTACTGATGGAAAGCTGAGTATCTTGTTTTGAGGCTTCTGCGCATTGAGCCTTTTCCGTGACACTCCTGCCATGGTGTGTCGAAGAGCAGGGCTGGGAAGCCTTCCAAGTACTAATACATCTGTGCAGAAATACTGGACTCTTTTCCAAACCCAGACAATCAGCAAAACCCTTTTCTCTCAGAGCAGACATTCTATCATATCGCTGCCCTGATGAATAAATGTTCCTTTTGTTAGTCTACTTCTTCTTCTTAGGAATGTGCTGGAATAATCATGAATATGGGCAATTTCCATGGGAGTAGCCATGTTAGTCTGTTGCAGCAAAAACAACAAAGGGTCTCGTGGCAGGTTTAAGGGAAATACGAATATGGAATTAAGGATGTTAATTGAAAGAGTAATTTAAATACTAGAAATCTCTCTGTATGAGAGTGTATTTATGCCTTGCTTGGTATTAAAAAACTTAATGAAAAATATGTCTGTGGATGAAATGAATGTTTAATGAATATATATATATATATATATATATATTAAAGTGCTGTTATTGCACAGTATAATTGAGATGCATTTAATTCTACATCTTTAATACTATGTATGGCTATATTTCAGAAGCAGGTGATCCAAATCCATATGGAACATTGGAATGGACAATATACTATTTCAGCTTTACTAACATGGGGCAATATCAGGAGGCGGTAGCAATAGCAGGGGAGTGCTGTAGCTTAGTAGTGAAGGCCATGTTTTCAATGGGCAAGGAGGAGCCCAGGAGGTTCATATCCCAGCATCTCTAGTAAGGGCTGGAAAATGTCTGGCCTGAAATCCTGGGGAGCCACTGCCGGTCAGTTTATTCAGCTTGATGGGCCAGTGTTCTGACTCAAAGGCAGATAATGATGTTACCAGGCTTATGATCCATCCTGATGCATTTATATTCAGTGCATACTTTGGACTAAGCCCTGTTGAACACAGCAGGATTTATAGCTGAGTAAGCTCACACAGAAATTTATTTATTTAGTTTTATTTCTTGCCTTTCTACCTAAAAATGTCACTCCAGGTAGCTTTCAGACATAATTAACATTGATTAAAGCAGTAAACAATATATTAAAATTCGTTGCAAACATTGCAATTACAGAATTAAACAAAAAGCACCAAACCCAACCGACACACTGACAGGCCAAAGCCCTTTTTGTATAAGCTGGTTTTAACTGCCAATGGTAGAGTGACAGAGAGGGAGCAACCCTAGCCTGCTTTGGGTGGACATTCATTCCACAGCCAAGGTGCAGCCACTAAAAAGGCCCTCTCTTGGGTTACCAACTGGGCAGGCTTGTGTGGAAGAAGACATTTTTTCAGGAAGCCTTGCCCAAGCCAGATAGAGCGTTATATGTCATAACCAGCACATTGCATTTTGCCTGGAAACAGACTGATATTTAGTAAAACTGTCCTGGTCAAGACTGTGGACACAGCAGTTTGGATCAGCTAAAGTTTCTGAACAGTTTTTGAGGGCAGCCTCACATAGAACATGTTAAAGAAGTCTAAATGAGATATAACTAAGGTGTGTGTGACTGTGGCCAGATTAGATATCTTAAAGAATAAGCAAAGTTGGCCTGGGCATGCAGGTTCAGGGCCACGTGCAAGAGTACACTCAAACTTTGAGCCTGATCCTTTAAGGGAAGCGTAGGCTCATACAGCACAGGTAGAATCCCTATTCCTGATCTGTCTTTCCAGTGGCCAAAAACACCTTTGTCTTGTCTGGATTGAGCTTCAGTTTCTTTGCCTTCATCCAGTCCAGTACTGACATCCAGCTGCAATTTCAAACCAGGACAGCTTTCTTTGATTTAAATGGAAAGGAGGAATAGAGCTGGATTTCATTAGTATACATTAGTCTTAATATTCATTAGTATACTGGATTTCATTAGTATTCATTAGTATACATCAAACCCCAAAAGTCCAGACAAGCTCTCCCACCAGCTTTATATACTGTATATGTTAAATAGCAAGGAATAAAACAAAACCCTTTGGGATACCACAGGCCAACAGCCTCAAACTTACTAAGATCTTTGTTAGCTTTCTTGTAGCACCCCAGTTGTAGTAATCCTGTTCCTTCAAATATTGAATATATTTAGAATCATGAGAATAGCTGCCTAGGTAGAACTAATTTGTGATGGGTCTGCAGTTTAAGAATGCAAATTACTCTTTATTGCCACCTGATCTCAACTTTCTTTGTATTCAACTTCTAAGCAAAAGATAGGAACAGTGATTCTAGGGCAAAATCTAGCCAAATGTAAAGAATTGTGATGCAATCTAGACAAAGATAAAGCATTTTTGTCCCATTTCTTTCATTATGACTTTAATGCTTAACTCTTCAAGTTTATTCTTTTACAATAAGCTATAAATGTACTTCACCTGCCTGTTGCCAATGGCATTCTCATACATCACCATCTTGACAAACTACTGATGGAGCAAGTCCTATGAAAGGGAGCGGGGCTAAAAGCTGGTGACCAAAGGAAGCAAAATACAGTAAATATGGGCCTTACATGGAGGGTGTGGGGAAAATACAAAATTGAGGTGGATACATGAGTGAGGGCCTACAAAAATTCCCACAAATTCCAGCAGAAAAAGTCCTACCATTCCCAGTAGTCCCCAGTGAACATCTAAATAACTGTAAAAATGATTTTTTTCTGTCTAATTATTCATTATTTATGCATAGGATAAATCATGCATAGGATTGTGCCATAAGGGAAATAAA